AATGATTACCGAAAGGCCTTCGGAACATCCCGGCACAGTGCCTGGGCTACGGGTCTGAGGCCACTCGGATGGCAGATGGGGTCTCGTGGGAGGCGTCCCGGGGGCGTTTGGGAGGCAGTTTTTGAACCTCTTGGGGGCCTTCTGGGGGCCTCCTGGGTTTTTTTGTGGGGCCTTTTGGAGCTCTCTGGGGGCCTGTTCGGGCCTTTGTGTGGCAGCTGGTGGGCGCTTTAGGGTCGAAGGTTCGAAATGTCCGTTCGGGTTCCCCCTCTGGGCCCCCTCTTGGCGCTGTCCTGGGGCTCCCCTAGGTCGTTTTGTAGGTTTCTTGAGCGGTCTTGGGGCCCTCTGAGGTCGTCTGGGAGCCCTCTTGGGGGCCTGTTGGGACGTTTTGTGGCGATCTAGAAGGTTTCTTGGGCCGTCTTGGACAGTGTCAATGCACAAAAGGCGAACAATACATGTTGTTGAAGAAAATGGGGCGATGTTTCCTCTTTGAGGCCGTCTTGAGACGCCTCTTGGGGGCTTCTTGTGGCGTCTTGGGGGCCTCTTGGACCGTCTGGAGGCCAGCGTGAGCGTTTTGGATCTATCTGTCGTCGGCTCGTGGCTCTCTCGGACCGTCCGGAGGGCCTCTTGGGGCCCTCTTGGCATGTTTTTGGGCCCTCTGTACCCCCGTGATGCGCTCGGGCGGTCCCCGATGGACCCCCCTTCCAAGTCAACTGGACCAGGCTCCCAGGGGAGGGGTTCTGGGGAGGGGGAAGCATCTCACACGCCGATGGATCCCAAGAAGTCGGCAGATTTTGCCACAGGGGTGTCATCCTTGAACTGCGCATGGCGATGCCAACGTTGCCTCGCGTCTGCTCGTGACTGGGGGAATATCACAACAGAAAATTCTGACGGCATCTCACTGCCTAGTTTGCCTCCAGCAGCACCGCGATCTACCGCAGATCCTGGGCCAGGATTGCCGCTGCGCAGGGAGCTGTTGCGTAATGGTCAACGCGATTTGCTTCTCGCGATATTGGAGAGTTGGCGTCCACAAGTGTACCACGAGACCACACTTGCTCTGCAGCAGTGGGATCATACTACAACCCAGCTTGCGACACAGTTACGGCACTTAGCAGAGCAGAGGCGCCGTGCGGAATTTGACGAGGCGAGCGCGTTGATCCTAGATTTGCAACTTGTGGCTTTGCGTGTATCGTCGCAGTTTGGAGCCAGGGGCTTAGGTATTGCGACGTGTTGGCCAATTGTGATAAGTTTTATCCTTGGTATTGACCCTCTGAACCATATCGTATATGTTTGGCCACTATTGCCTCTTATTTCTCCGCCGTTGCCAGATATTGAAAGCCACCGTGAGTGGACCGCCAGCGTGTGGACCATGATGGCGAGGCGCATACCGTGGGCGCCTCCAGCAGCTGGGCACTAGCGTAATCAGAGCCATCAATCAAGCGGCTCACGGCAAGTCCTGCCGCCGTGCCATCTCGCCACTGGCCTTGCTCTACTCGCCTCCCTCCACACAGCTTCCCCGCCTCTGCGTCCTCCTCGTCTCACCACGGGGCATTCTTCGCGATTGTAGGAGAAAATCGGGGCGTCCGAAGGCACGTGCCGGAACGCTTCCCGTGGGCAGCCCGAAGGTATTTGCCAGGGCGCTCCCTACTTAGGCACCAGAATCTAGACTTCCAAGATTGGGTTCGAGTAGATGGGGTCGGAGAATCGCGCCGCATCGGCGGTGAATCGCCGATTCGGCTCAATGTGGAGCCTGATTTGTTCCGCGCTGGTGTCGCCGATACATCGCCGACGTCGCCGATGCGTCGCCGATGCATCGCCGATGCTTCGCCGATGCGTTGGCGAAGCGCCATCCTCCGACTCCATTTACTCGGAACCCATCTAGGAGGCATCTACGGTAGGCCTGCGGCGATGACACATCGACAAGATTAACGAGGGCGTTCAAGGTTGAATTCCGCATGATAGAACGACGCGGAAGCACTGAGGGGCACGATGAAAAGCCGACAAAACTCAACCTTGAACGATCGGGGCCGCGATCGGGGGCCGCGATCGGTTCAAGGTTGACCGATCGACGCGGCGTCGAACGCCCTTGCGCGCGCCGACGCCGCAGGAACCCACCACGAGGACGCTTCCCCTGGGCAGCCTGAATCTGCCTGCCAGGGTCGGGTCGGGCGAAAGGGGGGGATTGGGAAAGGGGGGGTTACGAAATTTGCTGCATGCAGCTGGTTTCGGCCTCACCGAAGGGCCAATTCCCCCTCCTCCCACTCAAGTTTCTGCTTCTGCTGCATCCCTCATCTTCCTCCTCCATCCCTGTGCATCTTGCTTCAACTACATCTTTCCTCATCCATCTGTTCCGCTCCTCCTCCTCCTCCTCCCCCTGCTGATGATATTCCATCCCTCTCCCTTGTACATATCTCCTCTTCGCCGCACCACCGAACGTGTCAATATATCCTGAACCTCTTCCATTCCTCTCTCATGTACATGCCTCCCCTTCGTCGCACCACCGCACGTGTCGACAGGGAGGACCAGGCTTTCGCGCGAAGCTTCCTCACCGTCTGCGATCTTGACGTTGAAAATTGCAAACAGTTGCATGGATGCAGGGCGGTCGGCTTCCCAAAACGAATTGTTGTTTGAGCGCCTGTCACATTCGTTTGCCAGCCAACACACACGGATGGTGGGAGGTTATATAGGTAAAGCGATACGTTTGAGATTTTTTTCATCATGCATTACGATATTGACAGATTTGTGCAAGAGGTGAACGAATGGAGGATGGTTCCTTTTCAAACCGGAGCGGCCGTTGCGTACTTCCTTACTTTGTGCAACTTGATTTCCTCAGATGACTTAGGACTTCAAGCAAGGAGAATGTAGGACTGCGTGTCCAAAGGGGTGTTCGGTTTTCGAGGGGTGCGCTTTGCGCAGTGAACAAGAACGCATGTAGGGACTGATGAGGATGGGACGTGGGACGGCAGGATGTTCTTGTAGCATCGCTGATACATCTTGGGTTCATTCTGGTTATCCTGCTCCCCCTTCTCCTTCCTAGTCTTGCTCCTCGTCCTCCTCCTCCTATCCCTCTCCCTCCTCCTGCTCCTCATCCTTCCTCCTTGCGTCTCCTTTCCTCTCCTCCCGCGGATACTCCAGCTCATGCTGCATCCCTCATCCTCTCTCTCTGCTCATCCTGCCTCAACTATCCTTATCATTTTCCGTCTGCTCATCCTCCTGCGTTTCCTCCTCCATTATTATTGCTACATGCTTCCTCCTCTTCGCACCACCCGAGGTGTCGGTGTGGCGGGCCAGGCATTCGCTTGAGGCTCTCTCACCGTTCATGATAGTGAAGCGTGATTTTCTCAAACATCTAGACATATTGAAGACGGGTCGTTTCCCAAACGTAGTTCTCGCCATACGTGTAAGATCTGGTATTCATTATTCGTTTGGATGGATGGCGTGCTTGTTTTTAGACTGGGGTTCTCGCGTGCGACCTCTTCTCATAATTGCGAAGGCCTTACTGCCAGCGCCGCCGACCCTGAAGGGATACGACGACGACGATGACGATGACGACGTTGACGACGACGACGAGGACGACGACGACGACGACGACGACGACGACGACGACGACGACGGCGGCGGCGGCGGTGGCGGCGGCGGCCGCGGCCGCGGCGGTGGCGGCAACGACGATGACGCTGACGTGGGCCAGAGTCCTCATAGGTTGGCGGTGGTGGTGGTCTTGTTTCTGTAGTTGTTTGTGGTTGTGCTGGTGGTAGTGGTTGTGTAGCGTTCGTGTCTTCCGCCACCGTGTCTTGGCGTTGGGTCACAGTTCTAATAAACGTCCCTTGGGGTCTCATCAAAGGGTCTCGGGGGCGTCTGAGGAGCATGTGTGAGGGCTCCTGGGCGTCTCTTGGGCGTCTCCTGGAACTTCCGAAGGGCCCCCGGTGGCTTTTGGGGAGAGGGTTCGATATGGCGATTTGTATTTACTGCTGCGGCCTCTGGGCTCTCTCTGGTCATCGCCGCTGTTTCCCCGCCGTTAGTGCTGCCGGCCGCCGCCACCGCAGGCGCCAGCACCAGCGCCCAGGAGGGGGGTGGGTTCGAACCTCCCCCCCCAGAGAGCCGGAAGATAACAGATTGGGGAAGTTAGAGTATCCTACTTCTTTCCCGGCCCGGGTGTGTGTTGGGGTGGAGGTTGGGGGGCATAACGGCACCTCGCCATTTTTTTTTGTTTTTCATGTTTGTCTTTCTCTCTCTCTCTTTTTTCCCTCTCTCTCTCTCTCTCCTCCCCTCTGTGGGGGACGCTCATATTGATTCCCTTTTGTACGAGGGGGTACAAGTTGATTCCCTTGGTGGAGATTGCAAATGGATTTCTTTTGTGGAGGGCTACAAGCTGATTCCGTTCGTGGCGGAATTGCAAATCGATTCCTTTTGTGGGGTTTACAACTATATTCCTTTTGTGCGAGGTGGTGCAGTTTTATTCCTTTGGTGACGGAGGAGGCGAGGGTCTGGCTGGCTTAGGGGGGAAAGGCGCCAGCAAAAAACTGTGTTCTCCTTTTTTTCACACACACACACACACACACAAAACAACAACAAAGGCAATCCCTGTGTAACCCCCGAGAAAAGGGAATCACTTTGAACCAGTGGATTCAGGGAGGCCGTCTTGCATTTTTGTTGCTTGGACTTTTCCCCCAGGGCCAGACTCTCCCTTCCCCCGCCGCAACAGGAATCAATGTGTATCTCTTCGCACACAGGGAATCTATGCGGAAACCACCACGAAAAGAATCGATTCGTAATTCCGCCACAAAAGGGAGTCAATGTGTAGCCCCCCACAGGAAATCAACTTGCAATCCCCACAAAAGGATTCTATTGTACCCTTTTTCACACAAAAGGGAATTGATTCGCACCCCATCCCCCCACACCCCGCACAAAAAGAATCGATCTGCAATCCCGCCACAAAAAGTAATACGTGTGTAGCCCCAACAAAGTGGAATCACTGTGCATCCCCGCAACGGAAAACAAATTGCATTCCCTCGAACAGCGGAATACATGTGTGACCCCCCACACAAACGGACCCCAGAGAGGGAGACCCTCAATCATCTCAAGATCCTTCCCTGTCCTTCAGGAAGGAGGAGGAGCAGGAAGAGGAGGCGGAGGAGGAAGAGAAGGAGGAGTTTCCCTTCCCACCCCCCCAGGAAGGAGGATGCGCGGCGACGCTCGGCCAGGAAGGGCGCGTCGACGCCCCGATGCCGATCAGGGGCGTCGACCCGGTCGAGGCGAAGGCCGACCAACCCGCCGGCGGTCATTAGCCCGACCCCTTCGTCTCCATTCCAACAGCAGCCGCTCACGCCCTGCCCGCCCAGCGCCGCGTCGAAGCGCGCACCGCGGCCCTGCGGCGGGCCAGCGGACCAAGAAGACGCTGGTCGCGCGACGCGTTATGCAGTTCAACTCTGCGGTTCTCGCCGCGCGGGTGATCAGCGCGCGCCGCCTGCCCTGCCGTGGAATGCTTTGGCCAGATCTGCGCGTGCAGCGACGGGCCCTCCGAGAGGGGGCGAGGCGGGGCGCGGCGCGGGGGGCGCCGTCCACGCGCGCCATGGCAAGTGCTGCAGCACGGACAAGGAGGTCTGCCATTCGCTCGATGCCGCGAGCAGTTCGCACATGCATGTGCGTAGGTCTTTGTTCGGCGTCGGGTTGCTCGAAGCTCGCGGCGCAGCTGGCGGGTCGCAGGCCTGCCCCCTCGCGCTCCGCGAGATGATCCGGGGCCCGGTCTCGGCCGAGGGGTCAGGGAGCTGAGAGGGGAGGGGGTGTGCGCCGTGCTCTGAGAGAAGAGGGGGTGCGCGCCGTGCTGGCGACCCTGGTCGTGGACGCGGCGCCCGTCTTCGCGGGCGCCGCCTGCGTCCACCCTCAGAGCGCAGCGCGGCAGGCCACTTATTGCGTCTCTTCGACCAGCTCCGCGCCGAGCAGATCGCTCGCTCCGGCGCGACACTCGCGACGCGAGGGCCGACGTCATGAGGGGGGGCAGCGGCCGGGAGTTCATCTTGGACTCGATGCGCGGGCAGCCCAAGCACGACCGCGCCGCTGTCAGATTGGGCGACGAGAGGCGCGAGGAGAACCGTCCAGACCCCGCCGCAGCGACCTGGGGACGGACGATGAAAACGTGTCGCTGATGGGGTAGACGCCAATGGGTTACGCCGCGCATGCTCCAGCTGCAGAACGCAAGGGCGCGATCGCACGGCGCGAACTGAGTTCGCGAGCGATGCAGGAGGAGACGGCGACACCTGCATCTCGTGAACTATGTTCGCGAATGCGACGCAGCAGGACATGTGAGAGATCGCCCGCATAAGACGAACTACGTTCGCTGATGCGCTTTAGCGAGTCATGCAATTGAGGGGCTGTCACCATGACCTGTGCTCGTGGAGCAGCAGGTTTTCTTTGCGCGCAGCGCGTCCATCGCATTGCCGCGCCCCTCAGAGCGTCTGCTGTCCTCGTTCCTCTGGCAATGTTTTAATGAGTCGCTAGAGGTACCAGAGCGCAGGATCGGCCAGGCCAACTGGCGAGCAGATCTAGAGGCCAAGAAGGCCATCGAGCTGCATGCACAGCCTTCGGAGGCCGAAGTTTTTCAAGTTGATGTAACCATCGACCAGATGCGCAAGTGCGCACGGCTGATTGCGAGCGTGCTGCCGCTGTTTCCGCGTGCGTCTCACCAGCGGCCGCCTCGACGTGGGAGACCCACGAAGGTTTTCGACAAGGCCACGTCGTGGCACGCGTGGCAGCGAAGCCTCTGGGTATTTCGGTGCACTAAGTGTCTGGTCTTCTTCGGAGGACGGCAACCTGAGCGACCCGAGCTCGGTTGCGAAGGTTTCCCTGTGAGGGTGGCCGAGCTCCTTGTCTCGGCTCCCGATCATGGACACAAGCTGGCGAGTACCCAGGTGGGAGAGGAGCCTAACCCCCTGTTTTTCTGCCTGGCCTGCGGTGCGTACTCCCAGCACGAGATTCGCAGTTTGGCCACCCGCTGCCAGCCAGGTAGCATCCGATGCGGGGGCCAAGTGTTGTCTCGACTGCGCAGTGGACTTCATCCTTTGCGCAGCGTGCCTGTCTCCTGCGCTGAACCTGAAGAACAGGTTGCGAGGCAGGAGGCGGACGTTGCCTTGCAGATGGCTCGCCGAGGCGAAGTGGCGGCCTCTGCTACTCTTCTGCCCTGCCTGGACGCCATTCGTGCCCGCATAGCGGCGCGAGAGGCAGCGAGCAGGGCGGTGTGAACTGTCGCACTGTCATAACTGGTCGGTCAACAGTGACCCCAACACAAAAAAATATTCGTGCGGCTTTGTCCCCTGTTGCGTGTGCTGATTGCGGGATGCGTCAGCCTACTTCGGCTTGTTCTAGGAGTCCTGCCGGGAGTAGTTGGCGCCCCTCCTCACGCGCTATGACAGATCTGGCGGCCGGCACATGAGGGGCCAAAGTGCCGTGGGGCGCCGAGAAGTCCAGCAACTCTTGGGGCGCGGTGGAACAATGCTCACCGATCCCGCTGCAATTGTTTACGACGCCTCGTTGGTCGCGAAATGGCTTGCGTGCTGAAAGCGACGGGGCGCAGGCATAATCGCTTAAGCACCAGACTCGAACGGTAGCCTGCAATTTGTTTCTGCCTCCTTTGCCCTGCAATAGCCCCCCATTACCGGTGCCGTTTTGGCCCTGGGGCGCGGGGGCCGGGAAACCGCAGCGTTCTCCCGTGCCCATTTTGGACGCGCGTTCATTTCCAGTGGAAATGAACGCGCGCGCAGCACTGCGCGATAGAGGGGTTGGTCGAACTCGCGTGGGCATGGGCTATTAGCGTCTGGCAGCCGTGTGTGTCGCGCGGTGCGTCCTCCAATGCCCACCAATCTATCCTGGCGGCGGCTGCAGCGGGCGTGGTCGGCGTCGCAGCACTGCGCGTCGTTCTGCCACCGCATCGATGCGTGTTCGTAACTGTCCATTCAGAGGTTGCCTTGCCTCTGTAAAGGTCCGAGCGCATTCATATGGTTCGGTGAGGTGTGCCGCCGATTTCCGCGGCCCGCCTGGGCAGAACGGCCCTCCCTGCTGCCCCGCAGCCACCGCGCCGGACTCGCCAGACTCACCGGACACGCCGGCTACCGGACACACCAGACACATCGGACTTACCAGACACAACGGACACACCGGACACACCGGACGCACCGGACACACCGGACATACCGGACACACCGGACATACCGGACCCACCCGACCCAACAGACCCACCGGAACCGCCGGACTCGCCGGACCCACTGGTTTCGCAGAACCCACCGGTCTCCTGGGTTCACCGGACTCCCGGAGTACCCGACGATTTTGATTGCATTGGTGATAGCGTTGGTATTGAGATGGGGATGTGGATGATGATGATGATGATGGTGATGATGATAAGTACGATGATGATGATGATGATGATGATGAGTACGATGATGACTTGGATGTTGCAGTTGGCGGCGTTCACGATAATGATGTTTCGGGCGCTTTGCTTTTGCACGTTGATGCTGATCAGGGCGATGGCGCTCATTATGGCAATGCGCCCGCTGTTGAAGAAATGGGGGGGTTACAACAAAATGAGCGGTGCTGGTGAGGAGGAAAAGAGGGAAGCAGGTAGAGGTGGCATGTCATAAGGACCATCGTAATGATGAGGGAAATGATGATCATGACGACGACGATGGTAATGATGATGCTCATTGTGCTCGTGGTGGCGATGCCCATGACAATGATGATGACGACGACGATGATAATGGTGAACTGAAGAGTGCGCTTATAGGGAGGAGGATGGTTTGTACGTTCTTTGTGATGATTCCGTCGACGGGGGACATGTTGATGCCGATCATTGCAACGCTTTTGGTTGTGATGATGGTGGTGCTGATGTTGATATGCCCGTTTGGATCATGATTATGATGCTGAGCACGATGATGACTTGGATGCTGCAGATGGCGGTGTTCACGATAATGATGTTTCGGGTGATTTGCTTTTGCACGTTGATGTTGATCAGGGCGAGGGCCCTTATTATGGAAATGCGCTCGTTGTTAAAAAGTGATGAGGAGGACGACAGCATGAATGGTGTTGGTGAGGAGGAAGGGAAGGAAATAAGCAGATGATAGTTAATGATGAGGCATACGATAATCATAACGACGACGGTGGTAATGATGATGCTGATTGTGTTCGTTGTGGTGATGCCCATGACGATGATGATTACTACAACGAAGCGTGTGCTTATGATGATGAGGATGATTGGACGATCGCGGTGATGACTCCGTCGACGGGGGATATGTTGATGGCGATCATTGTAACGGTTTTGATTGTGACGGGGGTGGTGCTGATATTGCGATGGTGATTTAGGCGATGATGACAAGTACGATGATGACCTGGATGCTGCACATGGCGGCGTTCATGATACGTATGTTCTGGTGATTTGCTTCTGGACGCTGATGCTGATTAGGGTGATGATGCTTATTGCGACAATGCGCATGTTGTTGGTGTGGATAGTGGTGACAAGTTAGCTGTTGATGCTAGGTTTTGCTCCCGCCCTGGACCTCGACCCCTAGAGATCCACGAAGGTCCCCGGAGGTCCTGTGTTCGTGGTTGTGATGCCGATGATGATGGCGACAACGATGATGATGAGGCCGAAGTTTTTTCTTATGACGATAAGGAGGGTTTGGACGATCGTGGCGATGATTGTGTCGACGGGGGTACTGCTGATGACGCTCATTGTTACGATTGTGGTTGTGATGATGATGATGATGATGATGATGATGATGATGATGATGATGGTGCTGATAGTTGTGATACTGATTACGATGATGCTGATGAAGAGTACGATGATGATTCGGATGCTGCAGACGGCGACGTTCACGATAATGATGTTTCTGGCGATTTGTTTGTGGACGTTGATGCTGGTTAGGGTGATGGCGCTTACTATGACAATGCGCATGTTGTTGGTGTGGATAGTGGCGACAAGGATGTGGTTGATGGTTTTAGCTTCCGCGATGCGGAGGTT